TCCCACAGTGCTAGGATTAAAGATGTGAGCCATGGTGCTTGGCTTTCCTTTTAGTATTTCTTGTAAGGCAAGTCTAGTGATAAATTTCTTCAGCTTTTGTTTGTATAAGAAAGTTTTTATTTCCCCTTCATTTTGAAGGACATGATAGCTGGGGCATAGTATTCTTGTTTGGCAGTTATTTTCTTTCAGATTTTGAATATATCATCCCATTTTTTTCTGGCTTGCAAGATTGAAAAATCTACTTGTAGTCTGATGGAAGCCCCTTGTGTACAACATCACTTTTCTCTTGCAGCTTTCAATATCCTCTTTTTGTCTTTAACTTTTGAAAATTTGAGTATAATGACTCTTAGTGTGTGTCTGTTTGGAGTCATCCTATTAGGTTTTCATTAAACTTCCTAGACTTGAATTTCCATTTCTTTCCCCAAACTTGGGAAGTTTTCTTCCATTATTTCTTTGAATATGTTTCTTTGTTCTCCTTCGAGACCAGCCTGAGCAAGAGTGAGACCCTGTCTCTAAAACTAGCTGGGCATTGTGGAAGGCACCTGTAGCCCCAGCTACTTGGAGGCTGAGGTAAAAGGATCATTTAAACCAAGAGTTTGAGGTTATTGTGAGCTATGATGCCAAGGCACTCAACTGGGGGCAACAAAGTGAGACTCTGTCTCAATTATTTTAAAAAAAAGGAAAGAAAAGAAATTTGTGTCAAGTCATGCTTTTGCCTTGGGAGAGGTGGTGAAGAAGCCAGTCTCTTGGGATGTAACTAGAGACTGGGATGTTAGAAGTGTATTCTGGTTTTTTCTTTCTTTGCAGAGAAGCTGAGAACCACAGTTTATCTCCTACATGTTCTTCTTTACACCAAGGAGAGATCAGAGGCAGATGCCCATACTCTTAATCTGACTTCTGACTTTTAACCCTGGGGGCGATAGCTGCTGAGCATTTGTAAATTTAAAAGTCCCCCTTTTGTTCTTTGTGGTCTAGGAGACTCAGGAGTGTAGAGCTCCATAAACTCCCAGAGCTGGCTGATTTAGGAGCCAGTCCCTTGGGTGAAGTCTGTACAAATTGGAGCACTTGATGTGCTCAAAAACAATTCCCAGGAAGAGCCTGCGGAGTCTTTACTTCTGGAGCTAGCAGGGAAGAAGGCAGAGCCCATTCTCCTATTCAGGCAAGAAAAAGTCTCATACCCTTTTGCAGCAAAGACTTCTGGTCTGGAGTTATCACTGAAGCAAGCCGGGGAGGAAGCACAGGGAGTGCCTATTTACCCTTTTAGGCATGGAGAGTCCCCCACTTCCTTCCAGTAAGAGATTGCAGGAGTTTATCTCTAGAGCAAGCCAAAGAAGAAGGTATGGGGAGGGTAGTCCCTTCCGTTCTTGCTGGCAGAGGCCACAGCCTCTTTCCAAGGAGAGACTTTAGGGCTGGGATTATTACTGGAGCAAGTTGGAGAAGAGGGGACAGGGAGTGCTCACTTTCTTGTTCAAGCAAGAAGTCTCTGACCCTCCTTGCAGGGAGAGTCGTTTGGTCTAGAGTTATCATTGAAGCCAGGGACAAAGGCAAAGGGAGTATCCTCTACCCTTTCTGTCATGGAGAGATCTCCCTGCCATCTTCTAATGAGAGATTGCAGAAATTTATTTTGGGAGCAAGCCAGGGAAGAAAGTGTGGGGAGGGTCATCCTGCTTGTTCTTGCTGGCAAAGGCTGCTAGTGTCTTTCCATGGAGACAGCACATGACTGGGATTATTGACCCAGCAAGCCGAGAAGAGGCATGTGGAGTGCTATTCTCTTATTTAGGTTACAGTAGGCTTATTCATTTGCTTTCTAGGCTCCCAGATAATGGCTTGTTAGAGACTGGGTTGCTGCAATAAGCCTGCAGCCAAACCCTGATCCCAGAGGCTACAGCTACAGGGAGTGCTTGCAAGGTTCAAAATCTCCCTTTGTTTCTATACTTAAGAGAAATTCTCTGTTGCTCCATCCCTGCCCTTTCCTCAAGCGTGGTGATTTAAAAGCCACAGCCTCCAGTGGTGACTATAAAAGTTTTCTTAGTGGTTGGGTATGTAGGAGTCTTTCAGTTGGGTTATGTCTTTCTCTTGGGGAGAACTGATCCATGTGTAGGCGTTTACTTAGTGTGGCTGTAGGAAAAGGGGTAGCTATGAGCCTCCTGTTCTGCCATGTTGCTGACATCACCCTGAGTGTTTTCTGAAGGTGGAACTGACCAGATTTTCAGATGTGTTATATGTGGGGTGAGAAAAAGAGGAGTCAAGAATAATGCCAAGGTTTTAGCACTGGGAATTAGAATAGTGGAGTAGCTGTCTGCTGAGATGGTGAGAATTACTGGAAGGAGGGGCATAGCTTTGGAAATACTAAATTTGAGGTGCCTTTGCTCCATGGAGATATATAGGAGGCAGCGGGATATACAGGCCACATGCTCAAGGGCGGTGATCCAGGCTGAGAACTTGTAGTCCCCAAATGTGCCATGCCATTTTACGCTTTTTTTTTTAGAGACAGAGTCTCACTTTATCACCCTCCTCAGGAGAGGGCTGTGGCATCACAGCTCACAGTAATCTCCAACTCCTGGGCTTAGGACTTAGGACTCCTGGGCTTGCCTCACCCTCCTGAGTAGATGGGACTACAGGCGCCTGCCACAATATCCAGTTATTTTTGTTGCGGTTTGGTTGGGGCTGGGTTTGAACCCACCACCCTTGGTACATGGGGCCGGCGCCCTACCCGCTAAGCCACAGGCACTGCCCATTTTAAGCCTTTTTTGTCTTTGGATATCCTGCTCCTTCTGTCTAAAAATCTCTTTCTCTAAAACACTTCTAGTCATACACATTTTATGTATTACCAGAGACAGAGTTGATCACCCTATATTGCCAGTCTACCTATTTTTGCCTTTTGCTCTATGGTGTAGATATTCTTTATCTCATCTAATACACATTTATTGTGGTGTCTAGTATGTATTCTAGGCACTTTTTTAGGCACTGGGGATAAAATAATAAGGTAAAATTCCAATCCTTACAATGGAGGGTGCAGACAATAAATAAGTAAATAATGTTGATGTACTGGTAAATACCATAACAGAATATAACACAGTATGTTATGGTAGAAGTAGTGTACTGAGCACTGCTTTAGAGAGCCTGGTCAGAAAGTTCTCTTTGCCAAGGTAATATTTGAAGGAGACCTGAATGAGGTGAAGGAGTGAGTCATCAGAGGATCTGGAGAAATAATATACAAGCAAAGAGAAGAGCCAGCCTAAAGGCCTTGAGACACAGGAAGCATAGAGGGTTCCCAGCAAGAAAACCAGCGTGCCTGGAGGAGCATGATAGAAGAGGTCATAGAGGAGGGCAGGAGACCAGGTGATGAAGGGCCTGTGGAGTTTGCTGTGGAGTTTGGATTTACTTCGGTGGTAATGGGAAGCCAGAGGAAGGTGAGGAAGGTTTTGAACAGAGATTGATATGATTTGATTTGTTTTAAAGAGAAAACTGTGGTTTCTGTGTGGAATAGATAGTAGAGACTATTGCGATAGTTGATTAAAGAGATAAGTGGTCACAGTGAAGGGTGGGGAGAAGTGGACAGTGAATTGTTGAAAGAGGAATAAGAGGCTCGGTGCCTATAGCTCAACCGGCTAAGGCGCCAGCCATGTACACCTAAGGTGGCGGGTTCGAATCCCCAGCCCGGACCCGCCAAACAACAATGATGGCTGCAACCAAAAAATAGCCGGGCGTTGTGGTGGGCGCCTGTGGTCCCACCTACTTGGGAGGCGGAGGCAGGAGACTCGCTTGAGCCCAGGAGTAGGAAGTTGCTGTGAGCTGTAATGCCACGGCACTCTACCCAGGGGGACAGCTTGAGGCTCTGTCTCAAAAAAAAAAAGAAAGAGGAATAAGAAAAAAGAGGAAACAGAACCCAGATTTTTGACTTGGGCAATCCATCTGCAAGTCCTGTGCAAGTACTGCCTTCCCATAATGTTTAGAATATGAAAGTCGAGAGTTTTTGTGCTTGGTTAAAATGTCCTGCATGATCTATCCCTTACCTACCTGTACCCTGGTTCCCTAACACCTTCCCCTTTCCATACTGAACATCATCTGGGCTGGTGTTTTTCAGTTCCCAGGACTGTCTAAGCCCTTAATTGCCTTATCCAAACGCACATTTCCTCCAGCTTTCATCCTTTCTGAATATTACCTCTTCAGAGGCCTCCATCCACCAGCTTCATTATTACAAAACTGGATTTTTCTTTGAGCACTTACCACAGCTTGTCATTAAATTTATTTAATTTCTCTTTCCTCCAGTAGATTGTAAATTGAAGGAGGCAGGGAGGGAGCTCTTTCTCTGCCTCTTTTTTTCCCTAGCACAGTGCCTGACACCTAGTGGATGCTCGGTATGAACTGTGGAGAGAGCCTGATTGAAAAGGTAACATTAGGGGGTTGGAAAACTATAAAATAGTTCGAAAATGCTTTCCAGTGTTCTTCAGATGAGCAGTGAGCTTCAGCTTTCTTTTCTGAAGTGTCAGAGGACAAATAATAGCCATTTAATTGTAAAATTTTTTTTCTTTTTTGAGACAGAGTCTTAGTATGTTGCCCTTGGTAGAGTGCCAGAGCATCACAGTTCACAGAAACCTCAAATTCTTGGGCTTAAGGGATTCTCTTGCCTCAGCCTCCCAAGTAGCTGTGACTACAGGTGCCCTCCACAACGCCCAGCTATTTTTTCTTGTTATTGTTGTAGTTGTCATTGTTGTTTTTAGCAGACCCAGGCTGAGTTCACACCCGCCAGCCCCAGTGTATGTGGCCGGCACCCTAACCACTGAGTTATGGGCACCGAGCCTAACTGTAAAATTAATATTACATTTGGGTATCTGAAAAGCTGCAGTCATTTTAAATTCTGCATAACATGCTACAAGGATAGGAAACTTTTTCTTCTTATTCATCACCATATCATTGGTGCCCTGCATGGTGACGCTTGAAAGCATTATGTAACTACAATGCATATTTACTAACATTAATTTATTCTTTCTCTCAAGGTTAATCTGAAGCGACCATGCCCCTTCTGGGCAGAAGATGGCCACTGTTCAATAAAAGACTGTCATGTTGAACCCTGTCCAGAGGTATAATAAATAAATAAAAATAAAAGGGGAAAAAAGCTTACTATCTCTTAGACTTTTAGATAAGCATAAGCTCTTTTATTTTAGGTAAATGTCAATGGATTTGGACTTGTCCACAAATTCATATGTTCTCAGCCCTCTCCAGATGATTGAAGACTATACTTTCCACCAAAATAGATTTCAAGACACTTATATCCAGTATTATTGGATGTGGAAGGATAGTCTGATTCTAAAATGAAAGAAAAATCAGAGGCCTGGATCTCAGTTGACTTCTATTTCATGCTTTATTGAGTCTACATCTTGTTTCATAGGCCAAAAAAAAAAAAAAGTGCTACTGGACCTAAACTTCAAATTCAAGAGTAGGAATTAGAGTAAGTGGAAAAATGTCAGGCTTGGAATTATTTCACTTGGCCTCACTATATTTTCATTTTTAATAAGGGTATATTACCCAGACAATGCTTCATTTTACTCTAATTTTTGACATCTCCATCAATAGTAATTAGTTATGAGCTATGTCTTCATTTCACTTTTGCTTTTCTTACCTAATCTCTTAGTCTAGTTTGTTGTCCTTAAAAATAGAAAAGAACATCTGGACCAATGTTCTAAAGGGAGAATTCTTTAAAAGTTTATTATCTTGGGTGGTGCCTGTGGTTCAGTGAGTAGGGTGTCGCTCCCATATACCAAGAGTGGTGAGTTCAAACCCAGCCCCGGCCAAACTGCAACAACAACAAAAAATTATTTTCTTTATTTTCTTTAAGAGTAAAATACATGTTGTTTAAAGTTTTATTAGATAAGTCAGTTATAACAATTCAGATTTATTTATTAAGGCCTATAATTAATTAGAAAGAATTAAAAGAATAATTCTTCCTTTGATAAACCCGAGGCTAATCATATGGGCCAAAAATTGGACTCTTGCTTTCTAGCAATCTAAAATTTTCTAAACTTTAAATGTCATCTTAGCAGAAATTCAAACTATACACAGTATTTTTCAAATAATTTTGAATTTTTAAAAGCTTTCTTTTCTGTGGGTAAGAAAGTTTATTGAAAAAGTGATTGCCAGTTTTTCTAACCTAAAAATTGTTATAAACTATAAAGAACTACTGGGGTTATTAGAGTTGATTTTGGCTCTCTGTTGTGCAGTTTTCTGTACTTTGATTTACAAGTTTTTATGTTGAGATAACTCTTTTGTCTCATGGGAGCATGAAAATGGAATTTGAGTGGAGGCAGATATGCTCTCCATAGAATAAAATACACAGTGAATTAGAGCAATGTATTATCAATGTGTGGAGGAATTTCAAAAAAATGTAAAGATCATGTTTTAAATTTTTTTTTTGTTTTTTTTTTAAGAGTAAAATTCCAGTTGGAATAAAAGCTGGGCATTCCAATAAGGTGAGTCCCTTTCCTCTCTGAATATTTCTGCTTCACATAGTAAAACTTCACCATTTACTGATTGACAGACAGTGGTTGCAATAGAGAATCATGATATAGTTGGTTAGTTGGGAATGGAGATATTTTGCCTCAGAGAGGCTGTATATCCCTAGCTTCTTGTGAAAATTACCTTAGTTCTGTTTTTGGAATCTCTAGGAGAACTATTAAAATGTAACTACACGCTCTGTGCCCATAGCTCAGTGGTTAGAGTGCCGGCCACATGCACCGGAGCTGGTGGGTTCGAATCTGACCTGGGCCTGCTAAACAACAACAACAACTACAATAAAAAAAAATAGCTGAGCATTGTGGGGGTGGGGGCACCTGTAGTCCCAGCTACTTGGGAGGCTGAGGCAAAAGAATAGCTCCAGCCCAAGAGTTTGAGGTTGCTGTGAGCTGTGATGTCACAGCCTCTATTGAGGGCAACAAAGTGAGACTCTGTCTCAAAAAAAAAAAA